TATAATATGTACCCGCATATCTTAATGTTGTCTCAGAGGTTGCAATATATATTTAATGTTGCATAATGATGGACATATTATCAAGTAATTTTATTTTGATGGGCACTTTTTCTCCTTCCACAAATCTTTTTATGATAATTGCCTTTACTCTGAACACAAATCTAAAGAAAAGCCAGATTTTGTGTAAACACAATTTGTAATACTTCCCTGGCTATCAAACATAACCATATTTTCCAGGTCCTATAATCTACAGCAATGGCAGAGTCTCAAACCTCGCAAGCCGTCAATGGGATAGAAGACGACAGGTTTGAGCAGGATCTGAAAGAAATGCTGCGAGATGGACCAGTCCTTAATGACAGCAGCTCCACTGTCCAGAGTGGGGCCATGACTAAGGTGGACAGTGTGGGTCCAGCCAGCATAAAACCCCCTCTGTACACAGCAGGCATGCAGAGATCACAGACCTTCCCTACATGTAAGGAAACCCAATTTTTTTCTTGGAGATGGGGGGGGGGGTTAAAATAGAGCACAATGTAATGCTGTGTGGTTCCAGTTCAAAAGTGTAGTAGTAGGTAAGCGTACAGGGTGCTCCATAAAAACAACATTTTAAATTGAGATGGTAAGCAAAATAGGCCATTTTTATGGACCACCCTGTATTTCCTGTAAAAATAATGGACCATTTTACATATTTAACTTAAAAGTAATTAAATGTCTTTTCAGGCAGTAAAGTCAAATGCGAAAGGTCAGACTTTGCTTCAGTAGCTCGATAGTTTACTAGTAACAACAAGATACTCAGATTTCATTATAAAAGTGGGTTATTGTAAGCTTTGAGCATCAGCACATATAATTAGTAGAATTGGTACAAATGAATAACGTTTTATGCAACTTTGTGCTCGTAATGGATTTTGTTCTAAGCTGGCAGCTAATGGACAGTTACTAGTACTGTAATCATATGATTGCTTGCACTGCCATTAATGATTCATGCTTTGTTACTTGTACAATATTCTCAATCCTACATGACTCAAACAGGCCCAAGAGATTGCAAAATTCATGAAGTAAATACATTTTCACTGCATGCTTGCTGTGTCAGTAACATCCTTCCATATTTCCTTCTTGTAGCTACTGGTAGTCCCAATATGTCTGCAAGAAATGGTGGAGGGACCAACCCCCCACGTCCGTTTTCTCAGACGGCTTCCTCCAAACTGGATAGTATCAAAGAGTGGAGTCTCAACACATTCAAGTGCACCAAACAGCTGTTAGCAGAGCGCCTGGGCAAGGGCTCTAGGACGGTAGATCTGGAATTAGAATCAAAAATAGAAGTACTGAGAGACACACAGAGAAGATATTCCAATGTGTTAAAGTTGTCACGTGCTCTGACCAATCATTTTTATCATGTTGTGCAAACACAGAGGGCGCTAGGGGAGGATTTCGCGGAGCTTGCGCAGAAGTCGCCAGAGTTGCAGGAGGAGTTCAATTATAACAGTGAAACGCAGAAAGCTTTGGTCAGAAATGGTGAAACACTACTAGGTAGGGAACTAAATCTGATGACATGCTGTTCTTCTTTTTTTTTTATTTAATCAAAAAAGAAGAATGGGATTGTTTTTCCTTTTTTCTCTGGAGGAAATTTTGATAAACTAAAAAAAGATATTTAAGTATTTGATGAATTCTTAGCAGTGTTTTATAAAAAAAAAATAATGAAAAATAGACAAGAAAATGAAAATATTAGTTGGATTAAGCCTAGGTTAGATGTGTTGTTGTATGTTCTGTAATATATTTTCTGTCCTGGCACATATATATTTAAAACTTTTGGTTTACCACAGACTGTATTCATTAATAAATATTCCATTTGAGTTATTGAAATGACGGGGTTTCTGCTGACCACACAGCAGTATATTTTCTGCATAATGCATCCTGAAACCAGCCTCACATGAATATTTCATAGATCTTCACTACTCTTCAGTGAAATAATCAGACTTATTGATCCATAGAAGCATCTCCACTATATAGAATAGATATTTGTTTTTGTCAAAATTTGAGAGTCATCATTTGACAAAAGATTTCTGAGAAAATATTTTTTATTCTTAGAAATATGCTTAGGGGATATTCTTAGAAATTGTGTCATTTATACCTTGAATAGAAAGCAGATTTTCTTAACACTACCCCCCCTTCCAAAAAAAAAAAAAGAAAGAAAAAGAAGAATAAATACAAAAAACACTAGAAAGAAGAAAAAAAAGAATAAATAAGATAAAGAACACAGAGTAAAAAAAAATTGATAAAATATTTTAAGCATCTTAACTCATGAAAATAACCACTGTATGCCATTATCTTGTATAATTTGTTCTATACAGCTTTATAAGCAGTTTGTACGCTATAGATCTTAGTCTCCAGTGAGCATAATACTTAAAATAATGATGCCGATAATGAACTGCATTCATTTGCTATTGCAGGTGCTTTGAATTTCTTCACCTCCAGCATCAACACCCTGATCAACAAGACAATGGAAGATTCCTTGGAAACCATTAAGCAGTATGAAGCTGCAAGGTGTGTTTGTGTGTTAGTCAGCAGTTTGAGATTTAAAAAAAAGTAAAATATATTTTAATGCTCCTCACAAATAAAAACAATTGACATTTTAAGGTTTTCACACTTTGTAAATTTCTTGGAAGAACTAAATATACAACTGGTTTGTATTCAGGATTGAGTATGATGCCTATCGCACAGATCTGGATACCCTGCAGTTGGGACCAAAGAACCCACAGACCATCCCAAGGCTTGAGGAGGCCAAGAGAAAGTTCCAGCTCCATAAAGACAAGTTTGATAAACTACGAGAAAATGTGTCCGTTAAGTTGCAGTTCTTAGATGAAAATAAGGTAATGTATTATACCTAAGCCATCAACTTTAAAGGTGGGGAGGGGGGGTCTTTTCTCAAAAAGTGGACATTTTTACCTCTTAGCTGATTTGACTCTAGAAATGGCACAGAACCTACATCGAATTTTGGTTCAGGGTGGACCTCTCCATCCAGAAAGGCCCTCCTCAATACCACCACCCCCTCCCCCCTGACAATCCCCTTAGACACACATGCACAGCAACTGTTCAGCACATTTACTGTGTGTGATTCATGGTGGAAATTGGATCTGGTAGACTGATTGATGAGAGGATCTACTGGTAGTATTGGCAATCAAAATAATCAATCTTCTTAGCAGCACAGTGCTTTCAGTGGTCAGCTTTCACTAATAAAAGGGGTTCCAACCAGTATTTCTAATATGGTAGAATGGTCAGTTATTCTACCTCAATATTTATTCCACGATATGTGCAATAGAATCTATTACCAGGATTATTAGCCTGGTTAGCTTTTCTGTAACAACTTTTTGGGTTACACCAGTAAATTTTGTATTCAAGTCAAATTAATTTTATCCAAAACTAGTGATAGATGACATGAAATGATAAAGTAATTCTGTTTCACATGACCTATAGCATATCCTAGGTCTCATTCCTAATGAAGGTGGTGTTATAATATGTAGATCGACATTCAGGGACTCACTGAATGCAATCAGATTAACAGATTAACACACTTGCTCCCTGGCATTGAGCAAAATACAGAAAAGCTGGGGATTATATGAGTACATTGGAAACAAGAGGAGGCATGTTAATTTGAGTGTATTCTGCCAGAGTTTCATTGGGTATCAGTCCATAGAAGATTGCTGTACACTCTACTATGCCATATATTTTCCCAGAACAACCAGCATCATAGGTTCTCTGTCATTTTCAGATCAAAGTGATGCACAAGCAGCTGTTGTTGTTCCACAATGCCATATCTGCCTACTTCTCGGGGAACCAGTCAGCTTTAGACACCACTCTGAAGCAATTCAATATCAAACTGAAACCAACAGGGGATTCCCCCTCATGGCTGGAGCAGTGAGCTCACTGTGGTGGTTTCTCTCACCTTTGTTGCTGAAGATGATTCTTTGGAGCTGGAGTCTAGGTTAAAACTTCATGGAATAATGGAGCAGCAGCTCCCTTTTTTTTTTTTTTTTTTACGCCCTTCTTTGCCAGAGTTGAGTACATGGCAGGAAGAGCACAGGAATTAAACATTAGCAAACACAAAGACGTTACAAATAATGATCTGTATGATATCTTGGACATAATATTGTGATTTTGTCCACAATGATGCTAACAGACAACCTTACACAGAGTTCCGATGGACCAGGCTGCAGTCAACCCTTACACTGAACTTTCACTTCTATATCAGTTGATTACATTTGATTAAACAGCTTTAATTTATATGCCATTGTGCTCCATTTTAATGTGATGATGCAAGCTCCAAGTTCAGAGTGATAACTTGGAAGAAAAGATACATGAATAATACAGTTATTCTTGATCAAGCTCCGAGTTCAGAGTGATAACTTGGAAGAATAGACATATGAATGATACAGTTATTCTTGATATTTGAATGAAATATGAAGAGGTTATCTGTCTGTGTCTTTATTTGACTGAAAGTGACTTTTTTTTTTTGCCTTGTTAGATGCTGAACTTTTTTCACCCAGTCTTTTCCAAAATTTTATCAGGTGTTTATTGTTATGATATGTGATTATATTGCATTATTTATGGGTACGTCACTGTTATGGACTTTGTTACATGCATTCAAGTTGCAGTCTGTTAATTTTGTTGCATAAGATGTTTTCGTGTCAGCTCTTTTATTCTCCAAGAAAGATAAAATTAGTTGAAATAAAGTTGGTGGTCATAGTAAAAATTAACGTCCAATGTAAAGTGCAGGCACATATATCTAGGCTGTGCCCATTGGTTAATATCTTATCAAACCAGGTGAAATATTCATATTAAATATGTGTACATAGCTTTGTTAAAATGCAGATTGGTGTAGATATCAAGTGATTTCTAAGATGTGATGAAGCCAGTGTATTCCAAGCACCTGTCGTGTTCAGAGCAGGAGAATTAGTTTTAGGTGGGAAGGGGGGAGGTTAAGTGGTGTCCCATTGTTGACAAATATTCAAGACTGATTGATGAGTGCTTACTTCATTCAATTTATTTCTGAAGTCAGAGATACTAAATGCTGAAGCTGTCTCCTGGTCTCTTTCATAGTTAGGGTTAGTATTCTGGACAGACAATCTTTGATAGATGCATTTTGTTTTTTAATTAAGTTGATGTGGCTATGGGTTTTTAGAGGGTTCTTGTTTGTTGTAGGTTGGTAAAGTGGTGGTGATTAGAGATAAAATCTATATAATTTGTCATCTGTGTCTTTTAATTACGTCATTTCTTAAGTACAATGTACATTAAAGACTTACAAAATCATATGATTGACATTAGCAGTAATTAACAACTTTTGGGTACAAATTCAACTGTGAAATTATTTGTAGTCTATTTGAAATTTTGCTCTTAGAAATTGACGAATGGTTGTGACAAAAAATGTAAAGTCTGTTTTGCCAGTATTTCTTTGTTGTCAATAATTCTATTTCTTTAGAAATGGTTCTGTTAAAAATCTTGTGAAGTATTAAAGTCTGCCCCCAACCTCTTCCTGGTAGAATTTGCTTCCCTGGAGAATACTGTAGCAGCTGTTGTAATGTACAAAGTTTTGTGTGAGAAACGATACTGGATTTTGGTGGGAAACAGTTATAATTTTAGTTGAAAAATGATGAATGTATTGATAAGTGTTGTAATGACAATTAAAAAAGGGATAATTGCAATATAAGTCTGCTAGTTTGTTATAGGAAGTTTTGGTAGACTTTCAGTCCTTGCTTTTGATACTGTTATTTGTGATTGCTTTATTTCAATTTACTTATATTTTTTTGATAATCATTATATATTCTTTATAATTCAGTTGCATGTATGGATGCCATACATTGTACATAGATATGCCACGTTTACAAACGGTCAATAAATAACAGATGGGTTAACTTTGTCCTTGTTTACTTTTGAAATAGAAAATAATTAAGGTCTTGAAAGTTGAAATTTGCAGTACAAAAATTTTTGTAGAAAAGCACTAGTGTGTTAGTGCTAATAAGCTGAAAGATGTACAAAATTTGCTCCCTTCACTTCCTTAAATTATATTTCAGATGATTGAAGTGACATATGACAACTGTTTAAATTTAAAAGCGTATTTGTTACACGTGCAGATCTTACATGGTGCCATTTTGTTTTGAATTACATTTTAACTCTGCCCTGTTTCGATTAATTAAATTCAGTAAACAAATATATTAAAGCATACTACAACAATTAATACATATAACAGGAAATGTCCATAATGTCCCACTTTGTTGATAGTCCTGAGGATGGAGTGCACAGTAGCTTATAATCTGTCATATATGGAGGAGTTACGCTATCCACTTTAAGTTTGCAAATTCTCTTTAAATATAACAGGTCCTGTGTAACACTAGAAAAACCTGCTGTACATTCCTTCCTTGTACTCCAAGGCCCACTCCAGGATGTTATAATCACTGTATGTTCACTTCAGATAACAATTCCTCAGAATGTTTTCTTAAGAGATGAAATGCTAATTAAGTTCTGGCAGGTCAGAAGAAGAAGAGGCCTGTTCTGCCTTTATCTGAAAATTCTTCACTATGACTCGCGTTGTATCCACTGCACGGTCGGCACAGTTCTGAATGCAGGTTTCCACCCTCCCGCCAAGGGAGGAACTCATCTTAGACACGCACAGATCAAAACAGTTCTCTGAGAGCTTTAGGATGCGGGCCATCACCTGTGACTGTGCTGACATCTGTTGGGCATACTGCTGTATTTGAGGGTCGTTCAACAAGGCATTCTCGTCCACACCAGACATTGTGTTTTTTTATGGTTATTCGGCAATTCTGTAAGGAAATGAGAGTCAAAATTACCAAGGCAAATTTCTATGACATGTTCAGTATTCAAATGCAAAGGGTTAATGCAGCTCGGGTAAATTCCGATCAAGATGATGATGATGCTGATCTTTCTTCTGCTTTCCTCTGAAAACTCTTTACAACAAAATAGGTTGTGTCAACTGCTCGTTCTGCACAGTTCTGAATACAGGCTTCAACTCTGTCTCCGAGAGAAGGTCCTGGTTTGAATATGCACAAATCAAAGCAGTGGTCACATAGTTTTAGAATGAGGGCCATGTCTTGAGCCTTCTCCGACATAATTGGGATCTTGGTGTCACTCAAAATGTCACTTCGATCTGACACGGACATGATGTCTCTCTCTTTCCGTTATGCCAAGGCCTGGAATGAAGTCAAACAGAGCCAAACCTAAATGTTACATTTATTGGAGTCTGGAAAAAACGCGAGTCCATCTAAAGTTATGTAACGCACGTGCGATCATCTTAAATACACTTTCACGTTCACTGGTTTTCAACATGCCAAGGCTCATGTGCGATTCTGAAGTTCGATAGGGTATTTTATAACAAGTAAATATCGATTTTCGCTTAAAGTTTGCATATGTAGTATGCCTTTTGACCTTAAAAATCTCATGTACTGTACTAACGTGAATGTGACGAAATCATGATCCACATTGCAATCATTCGCATGCTAGCAATCTGCCTTATATTTAGCATAGAAGCAGTAAAGAACAGTTTCTCGTTTAAATAACTGATTTAAAACTCATAAAGTAGAATAAGAGCTTAATTAAGAGTACAATTACCTAGTTTTGAAATTGATAATCCTCCACAGAGGCACAGCAAGCAGCGTGCTTTCAACTGACCTTGACCCTAGTGTGTCGCGCACGCGCATTTATGTGCAAAATACTCGCGGAAGTATGGCGGTTTATTCGCATTGCGAAACTTTATTTACCAACCCTGATGGAACTCCTATGCATTTCTACATGCGCCCTTGCGACGAAAGAGCGATTCTCAGACCCGTAGTTGAGGTACTCTCTTGATCTCTGATGGCATAAAATATAAGTAACTCTGCAGCGTACCGAAAAGACGTCTGCTAGTGCTACGAGCTTAGTGATACTGACGCAGTGACATTGCTACGTTACAGACGTATTGAAAGTATTTGCCATTATGAAGACAGTTTCTGTAACAAGCCACATTCTCCTGTTATGTATATAAATAAGGATTTATATTGTTCTCATGATCAGACTTTTTTCCACATAGCACACTTTTAATTAAATGATTGACACACTTTTGCTTTCAGCATGGTGGTGGCATTTTGTCAGGGAAGCAAGGCAATGATTCAATAAAGTAAGAGCTGTTTAACACAATTTCTTTTTGTCCTTTAAAAAGCAAATACACCAGATAGCTTATTCATTTTCACTTGCATGAAACCTGTGCATCAGCAGTCAGTAGACAATTTTTTTAATATGTAGACTGTTTCCACATGAAAGCAAAGGCCTCAATTAGTGTAAAATGATGACCAATTTTTATTTTACCTCTCATCTCCTCAAATTGCACTGGCATTGCAGTGGATGCACAAACAGGGATTAGTTAGCTTTAGCTAGTTTACATATATGCAAACGATTCTTGTTAAGACTATAAGGTGTCCACAAAATGCTCAAGTTTGAAGGACAATTTGGGACCTAAGTAAAAGGTGTGTGTGTGGGGGGGGGGGGGGGATACTCTACCTGGTCAAGAAAGTTGTGGTCCTTTCACCGCATGGTTACTAGTACCTGTACTAGACATTGAAAAATGGTCTGTACTAGTACTTATTTACTGTTTAGTTGTCAATATTTTCATATCCAGGCTGGCAGAACCTGGGAGTGTGGTTAAAAGTGATGATTACTACCTTGCCAATTTTATAACAGACTGTGTGGAAAAGAATACTTTAATGGACATTGAAAAATACAGGTGGGATCCGTCACCCTGGGTATACATTATCTTTCACTGAGTTTTTTTTTCTTTTTTTTTCAATTTAACTTGATGAATAATAATTTGTTGATTTGTACCCAGTATTTATCTTTTTTCAGAGTCACTGAATCAGTTTGTCATTAAGGCTTCGTTCACATGCAATGTCTATTTTCTAATTTCTATTTTCTATTTGCGGTATGCCTAATGATCACGGTCTGTGGCCTGAATATCCCGCGGCGTAATTACTGGCAGCGCGAGCCAGTTACTATAAGTTACTATAAGTAACTGGCTCGCGCTGCCAGTAATTACGCGGCGGGATATTCAGGGCACAGACTGTGATCCTAAGATAGCGCAAATAGAAAATAGAAATTAGAAAATAGACATTGCACGTGAACGAAGCCTAAGTTGTATTGTAGGGTCCACATACCCAGTCCAATGAGTTAAATTTAATATATATACAATAACAAAAATGTGATTATCTTGAAAAAATATTATAGCATCGGATCAGCTTGACAGTGTAGAAAACACTTTGCTTCACCTTTCATATAACTTGAAACCTTGTGAATCTGTGATGATGTTGATTGTCTTCTCCAGGCTGAAGCCATGTGATGTGGCTGGAGAAAACATGATAGTTATGTCCACTGAGGCTGTTGATGACACGGACCTGGAGCCAGCTGAACACATCATCAGATTGACTGCCAAAGACAGAAGGGGGTGAGTGGGGATGAAGGGGGGGGGGTGAGTGGACAGGGGAGGGACAGACGGGGGGAGGGGGTTATAGCACGGGATGGACATGTGACCTGGAGCCAGCTGATCACATACTAGTAATCAGATTGACTGCCAAGGACAAACAGGAGTGTGTGAGGAGGGGATGTTAAATGCCATGTTAAATTCTGGCAAAATTTTACCATTTAATTATTTATTATTATTATTAGTATTATTATTATTTATTTATTTATTTATTTATTTATTTATTTATTTATTTATTTTTTGGTTGGATGCGATGAATTCAGTATGAGATTTTTTCTGTGTGTTTTTCTTTTCTTTTGTATCTCAGTAATTTTCACATTGGTGATTTAGGAGGAAGAAGTACATGTTGTCTGAGGAAGTGAACATCATAAAACATATAGTGGAAAACAGATTATATCTGGATGTTGGTGGAAACAGAGTGTGGAAGGACATGGAGAAATTGGAAGTATGTTTTTATGAAATTGAGCTAATATGAAAAAAGTTTTCAACATTGTTATGAAAATTCCAAAATAAATGTTTCTTAGAATTAATATCCCTACTTTCCCTACCTTCCTACCTATCTATCCATCTACCTGCCTGCCTACCTACTCGTGCTTGGTTCTTATGTGGATAACATGAATAAGCTAGAATAATTAAAAATGTTTACTCATAAAAATTTTTAATTTATAAATGATTGAATGTATTGAGTCATCCATAGATTTGGAATGAGAACTATGTAGAACCCTGATACTGGAACTTACATTAGCAACTGACCTACATTGCTGTCTCAACCTCATTACCTAATGAAAACTCTCAGATTGAGGCTGCAACATCCGTCACTTGCCAAGGTAAGTTCCACTATAAGAGTTTTCAGGTAGACATAGTTCTTATATGAAATCATGATGTGTATAATTTTCATTTCAATTCATCAGATCACCTCGCATTCCTGGCAGTCAATGAAGCACCACTACAAGATGCACATCTTACCCAACATCAAGTCTTTCAACATACCTAGTCACTGGCCTTCCCTGCTGACCACTGCTTCAGCTGGGAAAGACGAAGAAGGTAGTTCTTTTTTTCTGTTCTCCTTAGAAATATTATTTTAAAATATTGCTAGGTTAGAATAAAATATAAGGAGTAAAAAATGAATAAAAAAAAAAAAGATTTTAAAGCTTTAGTTTACATATATGCAAATGATTCTTGTTGATATTGTAGGTGTTTCTCTAAATTTTGGCAGGGAATTCAAGACCTAACTAGAAGGTGTGTGTGTGTGTGTGTGTGTGTGTGTGTGTGGGGGGGGGGGGGGTATTACTCAGCCTGGGCAAGAAAATGGAGGTCTTTTTGAATGAAAATGCATCAAGGACTACCAAAAGTTGCCTTTATGGAAACAGTAGCAAGATTTTGAGTTTTCTGTCCCAATTTCAGGTTCAAAGGCTGCAATGGCAAGGTATCTGGCACCTGTCACTGTTTCTACTCCTAAACAAAACCAAGGTGAGCTTGTGATTTTATGAGTTCTACTTCTTGTTTTGAAAGATGTGACTAATTTCAAACAACCATGCCTGAACAATCCGTCATTGTTATCTGAATATATTCAAGCTGCATGTTCTTTACTTTGGTCTTTATAATGTTCTGTATGTAATAAGTAAGACATGATTTGTGTTGTCTTTGGACTTTTTTAGTTAAAAAACTCCAAAAGTGTCACCTTTTTTATTCCAGGTAATTGTGAGTCAGAAGATGATATTGTAAACCCCTCAGATTTAGATCAAAATGAAGGAAAAAGCACAGGGCAAGATACAGAGAATCTTCCTGAAATTGATGACTTTGATAAAGAACTTTTAGAGATTGCTGAAAGGCAGCATCAAAAGGGAAATAGTCCCAGAAAACATGGCGTGATGAAAAGCCAGATCAGAACTAGGTCAAATGATGCAGAGAAAGGAAATAAGTTAGACTCTCCAGGAAAACCAATAGAACGTGCCAAGAAGAGTTCAACAGAGACCCTTATCCCAGAGAATACAAACCAGAAGGGACATTATTTGCGGTCATCTACAGTGAACCCTGTTGCTGGAGATTCTGAAGCTGAAGTAATTGGAGAGGTAATTGTATATTATTTACTCTCAGTAATACCCTTCTTGCTTCTAAATGAAACATCATAATATATAGCAAGGTAGTTTTTAGTTTCAGTATGTTTAGGCAATGCATGCAATTAGTATATGTAAACACCTGGACCATTAACATTAGAGAAGGTAACAATTTAGAAAATATACACGAAAAAAAAATCCCTGCAACAAATCCTGTTGATCATATCTTCAGATGTGTTAAGGCTATATGTCTGTGTCTGTTGTCAGGATGTGGCTGACCAAGATATGGTGGAGACTGCTGGAGCTGAAGTTGATATCTCACCAAATCCCACACACAGTGGTAGAGATAAACGTGGTGGTTCAAGTAGAGATAAGAACAGGAAACGAAATGGTAACTGTCGTACTTGTACAAACTCAAGTTGTTTTATAAAAAAAAAGCCCACAACTAGTTGATGAGAATATTTTATCACTTTTCTGGCTAGTGCATACTCACTAGAGATGAAGAGACAGGAAAGTTTGAGGCAAGTTGGTAATGTACAGTATTATGATGAAAAGGCCAAGTTAGGTGTTTTAATAAAGACATTCAACACAAATAACAACAGTGAGTAACTTAAGTGTAATTGCAAAGACTTATAGGAAGGGGGACTAGATAAACAAGCATAACAACATAACTCACACTGGTGGTAAGACATTTTATTGACAATTCCACTATTTCCAGGTTCACAGGTGGAGAACTCTGAGACACAAACGCCCCCCTCTGAACAACAACTGTGGGAAGATGCTATTCAGGTGAGGCTCTGTCTGTCTTATCTTTAAAGGTGTAGTTTATGTATGGAAATGATGTAAGGTCTTTTGAGGACTAGAAAGTTATTAGGAAATATGTTTCAGTTTTTATTTTATAATTTTTTTAACATCTTGTATAATGGAAAATAACACACATCATTCTTATCATAAGTTCTTTACAGCATTATTTACATGATATATTATATATCAAATGCACATGTGGGCACATGCGCACGCACACACACATTTGCATGCACACACACACTGCAGTGTGTAACTTACAGTAATATAATCTTATTCAGGCTCTGATGAAAAGATATCACCTTGAGAGGGATGAAGTGATCACCCTGTTGTACATAAACAGTGGCAGTGTGGGAGACACCATCCATTACATTGAGGAAGGCACTGATCTGCAGGGTAAGATCTCAGTGATTTGTAAGATAAGTTATAGATTGGATATACCAGTAAACTTTACACACACACGCACACACGCACACACACACACACACGTAAATATAATACACAATAGTGAAAAAAAAACTTGTTCAATTCACATCTATTAAATCACCTCTTCTGTTATGTACGTTACTTTAAGTGGGGTGGTGTAAGTACACTATGAGCGAATGGGCCTTTGAAACTTTCTTCAAGTTCCACATTGAAAGTTCTTTCAGCGGTGACTGAAAGCGGGCCGTCTTATCTGTATATAAAGTCTAACTGTTTTTGTTGTCTTCAGGTCGCCCCGCCTGGACGGAGGAAGATGACCAGACATTGTTAAGTGCTAACACTAAAGACATGAGAAAACTACGACAGAAATTTGGAAGTGATGGCGTCAACAGACGAGCGCTATTTCTGGAGAAGATGCAGTAAAAGCTGTCACAGCAACTGTACACTACAAGCTAACGGAGGATGCCGGCTGGGTTGTATGTTGCCATAGTATAATATCTTCAGATCTGAAACGATTTGGTGAACTGATTTTGATGTTTTTTTCAGGCCTTCTATCTTAGTCCCCATCGCTGATATACAATTCATAAGTTTTAAATAAAAAAGAAATACGATCTTGTGATAAGAGACTAAGGAGCGGTTGTTCAATGAAATTATTTTACCACACAAGTTTTAAATAAAAGTAAGAATGGAACTATAAAAATACTGTACATATTACCTTTGTTAACCGTTTTTCTGCCTTAATGTGGAATATATTTAAAAATAGAACCTTTTAACTTGTTACTTTTGTTGAAGGAAACGAATTTTGTTAAATTTATTGTCTGGAACTAAGTGTCGTTCAGCGCAAAGTAACGAAAGATCTGAAATAAAAGACAATCAATGCTTTCTCTGTGTGCGATTTACTTTTGTTTTAATGGCGTTATGCGCTCTTGCGCGGAAAGTATTAGGGTTGGTAATTTATTGGTTAATTCGACTAGTTGTTGGCCAATGAATCCGTTACTAGGCTTGGAATTTTCTGTCTTTCGATTTGTTTTTCATGGATGTTCTCAATCTATTTTGATGGACCGCACTTACTGGTAAGTGATTAGAAATTAACTGTAAAAGAAAAGGAGTTGAAAAACTTATTTGCATTCCCTTCATTTCGCGCAAGACTCGATGTTATGTTTGAATCTGCTTTTGAATTAAAACCTTTTTTTTTGCACATTTTTTTCTTTGCGCAGGCTTGGTTGCGGTTTCCCTAATTGCGTTCGTTTTTCCTCAGCCGCGACAATACCGTTACTTTATTGAGAAAAATAAAACCCATGAGGTCAGCAGTATATTTAGCATGGGTGTTAAACGAATTCATCTGGAACGCTAGGCGTTCTACCAGGAGTCTTAGTAGTTCATTACTGACGCACTTCAAAGTCGACTGTTGTTATTTTCTTTACTTTTTTTCTCCATTTCCAGCAGTTGTCGGTGACATAAATCCTAATTCATTCGAAATGTGTTCTCTGGAACTACATAAAGTTTGCCAGTCTCAGTAAGAGACTTTTAGAAGAACACAATGGAAGTGCGCTGGATCGTCGCGCTTGTCCTCCTTATTGTTGCGGTCGAATGTATACCTCTTAAGGTAGGATTTTTATATGATGAAGGGACATTTCAATTCTCCCTTTTTATTCGGATATTTTAATTAAAATCGACATTGAATCACTTTATTCTAGCGTATTTGTCATTTATTTATGCAAATGTAGTGTGTTGTATTACACTATTTTTAAAGTTTCCGATCATGTAAAAAAAAGGAAACACTGATACTATAAGTCTATAACGTTAACATATCATGCAAATCTGTCTTCATCCTAATTACCCTGCCAGCCTCCGTTCCTGTTAAAGCGTCTGCGGAGAGCCGTCCACTGGGGTTTAGCCAGCAGTCGACCAAGTCGCACTGACGACACCTTTGCCGGGATAAGTGTACGAGACGAGCACGGCATGGAGTCCGACAGATTTGACGTGAGTTGGTTTAACAGTTTCCTGATTATATGTTTTTTTTTCCTTTTTTTTATCAGCCTTTTTTCAGACTGAAAATTCTACTTATTACTGAATTTTTTTATATCTTTTTCATGGCCACTATCCGTCTACTTGTATGTTGATTGATCCAACTCTGCGGACATTCTGCCTGAGTGCAATCAATTTATTAACAGATTAACACGCCTCCTTTTGTCACCAACGTACTCGTAATCACCAGCTTTCCTGTATTCTACTGAACACCAGGAGGATACGTGTTAATTTGTTAATCTGATTGCATTCAGCGAGAGTTGGATCGATCTCCGTAGACCGTCGGTGTCTATGGGAATGAACCCCTTCAGTTAAAGCTACTTCTTACGTAGAACCCACTTTTACATACAAAAAATCCTACTCCACAGAGTTTTACGTATAAAACATGTAAGGTATGTCAATAACAGGTGGACCAACATAACTCGTTTTAATCCTATGGCGAGAACACCTCCCGACAGTATTCACTTGGATGGGTCTCGGTCTTCGATATTTGACAGGTAAATCATCGGTTAAATTAGATACCACTTTTAAGACTTTCACCAAAAACCATCACGTTATTTCACTGCTTTCAGCGCACCGTTCACGTTCCTGTGTTTATCACCATTGGCTATGACAGGTTTGGACGACCCATTCAGATTATCAATCCAGTGCACGTAGCTTCTGCGGGGGTAGGTCTCTCTCCTCTCTCTCTCTCTCTCTCAACAAATGGGATAACTTGACTATTTTTTTCTCGTAATTTGTATGTCTATAAATTCCACACTTTACGGCTGTTTTTCATTGATACACTGAAGTGCAATTCGCTGAAAATCGGATATAGGATTATTTACAATATTAATTCTTTACTGTCGAATGCTATCTGTTATTTGTCTAATTTTCCAGAATTCACGGTCGATGGATTTATACCGATATCGCCTTGGTCGAACAGAGGAAGATGACGTCACCATACCCAGAGATGATGATGATGATGATGATGATGATGATGACGATGACATTGGCGAAGTTCGAGTTCGCGGCCGCAGTGATACTGGCGACGATTATTACGGCGATTGGTATCGGTCTAGAGAATCTTAATGCTTTTAAGCAAAACATTTCTACAGCACATATTTATCACATGCAATATGGCGTCGCCAGTTGCTATGCTACGTATTATTCATTGGAGACGTATATTAATACCTATCATTATTGTAATAATATTTTCAGTTTGTCGGCTGCGTCCTTTGAAGATGAATATTCAGCCTTTAAATTTTCATAGATGGCTGTTGTAGATTAATTATTCCAGTCATAACTGACTTAAACTTTTCGCAAATAGCGAAATTTTTTTAATCCTAGAACAATTTGGAGAAAGTCGACGTGCGTTGGATGTTTGAGAACGTTAAAATGAAGATTTTTAGAAGTCTGATGTGTGTTAACGACTGGATGCCTTCTTATTGCTCGAAACTGTTCAGTGAATGAATGACTTACTTTATTTCAAGTTGTGTGATCTTAAGTGAAAGAATCCCAGAATGACACATGAAAGTTTTCAGACTTAAGATTTGTTGAACATGGAATACTTTTCGCTAGATTACAATTGTTAAACATACAGAGATACATAAAGGCGTCAAAAATGATTTGACTTTTTTATGGTTTATGTCATATCTTTTTTCGTGTATTTTTGTTCCGATCTGAATTGAAACTAAATAGTTTGAGGTGCAAAAAATTAATGATTTTCAATGACGCATCACCTAGTGATGAAGGAAAATTTTGGTTTTCACATTTCTGACAAAAGTTTGGTTTTTGACACATCCACGCCCTTATTTAAAGAACAATTTAAATGAGAACATAGTAGTCCGTGATGTTGAAAAATGTCTTTGGACTGTAATACAAGAGATACTCTGAAATTTTCAATATTTTATTAGGGATTCGAAATCAAAATGAGTACAAATATCAAATGTGGGAAGATCTGCTAGAAAATGATTTTGCTTTAAAGACGTACCTAAAGTACACAAGAAATCCATTCTCATCATAAAATATGGTCTGCTTGACCGACAGAATTAACCAGAGCAACGCCTTCTGCAGACCCTTTTCCTGTAAACTAAACTGAAAAGTCCGTAGCATCTTCTCACTTGAAAGCACCTCCTGCTTTTACAGAGCCCATAGCGACCGTTTTTCAAACATTTTGCTTTGTATTTCCCAATGCTGACATAGTATCTGTAGAAAACACTACCGCGGTAATAACTAGGGCGCAGGCGTCCACAAGTTTGAAGACTTCCTTTCTTAGCGGTATATAGATTGCCGCATCGTTTTTTAACTCGGAAGGATCTTGGGTAGTTGCGGCATACCATCTTACAAGCTGAAAGGAAATGTTTATATTATAAATTATGTTTTTTATCTTAAATCATAGAAGACAAACAATCAGTTGGCAGTACGCACAATGACGGTTATACATGTAGCAGAAATAAAATATGCCGCCAGATAAATCTATTTAAAATTTCCCCAAAGCTATGCACACTTTTTGGGAGCTATCTACAATAGTTTCTTTGTCCAAATGTTAAAGATGGGAGAAGTTTTCAATGGAGATGTAAGTAAGGGTCATAGTAAAATGCGTTATCCGTCTCAGATAATTGAAGGAACTCGATCTAGTAGTTGGGAGCGGTATCACAGTGCAAGGGCAGGGTGGGGACCGAGAGGGAAAGGGGAGAGAATATCCTCTGATGTGACAGGGTACTCAAGTAAAGTACAGTACATAAAACTGAAGAAGAGAAGTCGATTCAACATTTTGTAGGAGGCAACTTCTAGCGCCCCTTGTGGTCATAGGGTAGGGAGAGAAAAGAACCTCTTCTGCGCGGCACATGATCCATTTTGTTAAATACAAGGACTGTGAAATGAGATTTTAAAAAAATCCAGCGCTACCTCTTCGGGTGTCCACATCGACTGACGGGTCGGAGAGATCTGCTAATTCGCCGTCACCCTCTTCCCATATGCCGTCGTCTTCTTCATCATCTCCATAGTTCCCTTCTTCGTCATCTACATCGTCCTCTTCGTCGAGAAATTCGTCACCTTCATCACCTCGAGCTCCGTCATTTGTGTCATCAAGCTCTGTAAAAAATGAGACCCTGTTACACATAGAGACACTATTAGGCCCTCTAATTAACCAAGATGACGTCTTATCTTTTATTCGTGTTAGCTACAGTTAGATACCTACATGTACCTAGCCACCATGAAATCAAGTTTATTTCTACTTGTATGAATTATATGAAGGAATGCGTACTTCAGAAAGGATACGCCTCATAGACATAATACAATATGAATACCACCAACTCCCCTGACCATTTTAATTCATAACGGTCTATGATTATTATTCCTCTTGAACGCATCTTATTGCACGTATTAGCGAAAAAATTAGAAGTCTGTTTGATGAATTATAAATCATTTCCGTTTGAAAACGAACAGTTGAGCTGCTTTGAGCATGGTGTTCCCAAACCTTTTACAGAGAGTCAATAAAAAAAACTTGGTTTATTTCAATCCACTTCTCTCATCTATCATAGACATTGGGTAAGAAAACTTTCCTATAAGAAATACCAGTAAAGCATGCTTCTGAGGAAAAAATACTGTATCCTGTTTTTATTGCAAACCAACCTTACTTGTATTCATGCAGTAACTGGCTGAGTTTAACAAGAAGCTTCTGTTAGCCCCTAGCAAAGAAATAGAAGCTCGGGATTTTTAACAAACTCTTTTTACAAACTTTAAAAACATTGTTTAAAAACAAGTCATGGGGGACAGTAAACCTTGTAGATGATAGAAAATCTCAATATATGGGCATTAAACGAGCTTGATGATATTTTTATTCCACATGAACATCAATACAAAATCTCACCATCATCTCTCCAATCCTTGTCAACCTCTTCCGAGGTTTCTTCATCAGAATCGCTGCTTAAACGCGTGAGAAGATCTTTCAAAGCTTGGACACTATCCAACCCGCCCGTCTTCTCTGCCGCGGCACCACCGTCGTCGTCTTCAGCGACTCCGCCACGGACAGCAAAGAGGCATAACGCTACGACAAACAGGGAGATCTTCATAACGAGAGCCGAGGTGTGGTTGACGAAGTGAAAATAATGGAGAAAGACTCTCTACACTGGTTCTACCTCTGCTTTATATACACTTGATTTTGAGCATCTGATTTATTGAAATGTTTTGACATTTTGGTGTTTACTCATGCACAAATCTATATTAATTTGTCAGTTAATTATCATAACAACGTTACAGATTTACATAAGTCGTGACAGACCGGAGTTTGCGGGTGGATACCTATTATTCTTCCACTGTTCTCTGCTATTTTGAGGTCCGACATGTGACAGGCTGCACATCTTATGATATTTATATTGTAACCTATAAAAAAGACGCCTAAATAATTCATGGGAGTCATTTGCATGTCGTTGATTTGTAATGAGAATGTCAGCATTTTTGGCGACTGTTAAAATGAGGTCCGTGCTAAACTTGTTGCCCTATGGTGACCTCCAGCGCCATAATTAGAACAGATTTATTGTTGTTTCTTCTTTTCTCTGAATTCATTCTTCACTTGAAATTAACATATAAAAGACGAACACTAGTTTTATTAAAAAATGAGTCAATAGTTCACACGAGACCGACGCATAAAAGTGTCCGGAGGCATTTCGTAACAGAACCCGTAATTTTCAAGTCAAGAAGCTCAAAACAACAATACTCTATTATTTTTTATTATTCATTAAAGATTTACTATAAAGGGATAACACGTTTCAAAATGTCCCAATGTCGTTCGTATTTTCAAGTCTACATATCTTGCAAAGCTACTTATATCTTTCCCAAGTCGGACCTTAGAACTATAAAACTGAAGTATGTAGGCCTATATACCTGATGCCGATGTTTCGTTTTGAAATGTACAGTAAGACATGACAGCCTACAGCTAAACTTTTGGCCAGACAAATAATGTACAGCTAATCAAATATTTATTTAGAATTTTGAATTGTACAAAACATCTAAATTTAGCGCATGGATTCGAGGAAAATTTGGCGCAAAATTTCTGGATGAAATTTCTTGATTTTAATATATGAAATAAGAATATTTTGAAGTAGCAACCGCAGTCGCGGCCAAGTCCTTTTTGAAAGCACTGACTGGAACTCGAGTTCATTGTCGTGGAAAGTGAAAACTATGGCAACGGTCAATTTGTTTCAAATATTTTGGCAATTATTCAGTGCCCCCGCAGGTTTTGATAGTGCATATGGATAAAAAAGTCACCCGCCGACCCTCTTTTACTACTTGAAATATATTTTTCTACATCATGAATAGGCCGAGTGAAAAAAATGAAAATTATTTTTATTTATTCATTTTCCCGCTGTGCTTCTGGATTCCCCCCCCCCTCTATGTGTACAGTAACGATAAAACTGTAGTTTACTGGTGAAGTCTCATAAGGTGTCTGCTGTGATTTACGTCAAAACATAAATCAAACACAATATTTTACAGGGTATGCGTAATTATGGGAATGAATAAGTACTATAAATGTCTTCATATTGTGGTCTTGTGTGCGGGGTCGTCACTTGAGCGAGAGGTATTTTTAAAAATGCACGGATATTTAAAAGAATTAGACTTAAAAAATCGCCGTGGGGTGTGACCATTAGAAATTAAAAACGATTGAAAAATCTCATTTTCCTTTATGACTTCAGTGAAGAATTCGTTCTATTTGTGAGTCTTAACACGTTATCTTTTAAAATATGTGTGCTCTAAATAGAAACTAACTTTTAGTTGAGGCTACATTGTGTATCACTTAAAATTGTTTTAACGGACCAAAAAAATTGTTATTCTAGATATGTCAAAGGACACTGAGGTTCACAGAGTCAAAATATAACATATTACGCCCTTCTTGACATTCTGGGTCCATCAGATTCTATTTGTTTTTTCGGACAACATTTTTTATTATTATTATTATTATTATTATTATTTTTGCAATACATGTGTCAGTAAATAAGATATATATTATCAATATTTTGGTATCAGGAGAGAAAATGCAATACTAAATAAATATAAAAGAGTCAGTCCAAGATCAGCCGAATGATGTCACAGGTGTCAAAATATTATAATTAGGCACCCACGCTTGGACTAATAACATTATAGTTCCCACTCCGCCTACCTGAAAAGTGAATATCTAAAAAGCAAAGCAGATTAAATTGAACAAAAACACATCTGCTAAATGATTTTTTTAGATTTTTTTACCTTCTTAATACCACGTCTGAGGGTTCCTATTAACAAACCTGGACCTTTCTCCATTGATCCATCGCAGAACACCTCTTAATTAGATTTGAGATTTTATAAAGAAAAGCACAGACAGCAATGTGTTGTACTTAACTTTCTTTGATTTGAAATAAATATGCAGATATTATGATGTAAAACAGTAAGATGTCTAGTAATTGTGGTAGGTGTGAAAGAGTTCTGAGCAAACAATGTGACTGATAAACCGGAAGTCCTGAACCTCGCTCTCAACAGCCAATCAGCAGTTGTTAGCACATGTTTTAAACTCGCGGGTTGTTACTACTTGGGTTTGCTGTATGATAACAAATGATAAATTTATAGCTGATATACTGTAAGGTAAGAGAATTGGCAAGCTTGCTTGAAATATTTTGAATTTTAAGTCGACTAGTCTGATCTGTGACTCGTGAGTGTGAAGAAAGTCGTCAAGTTTTTCATGATTAAGAAACTTGTCAAGTACGTGATTGTTGATGTCAGCAACACCTACAGTAACACGATTTTGTTTAAGTTTAAGACAGAAGTGTCTGAAAAGAAAATGACATAAGTTGTTTACGGTACTAGCATACGCACAACAACTTATTTAAATTTATTCCGAGAAGGGTCTCTGACATTATCGCATTCTAGCTTGGGAATGACGTTGCCGTCTTGCACAAAGTTTCTTGTGTAAGTAGCACACTGTTACCATTATTACACTCTCATATGTGTAATGCATTACACAACTGACACTGTGCTAACCGTCATGGCCACCTAACTGCAATATCAAATTTACCTGTTATTATCCCAGGATGTCCCAGGACAAGGTAATCCCAGTGAAGGTGGCCCTCCGTGCCAGGCCACTAATCCCCAGGGAGACATCAGAAGGGTGTCAGCAGTGCCTGGAGTTCATACCAGGAGAACCACAAGTTGTAATAGGCACCAAGTCGTTTACGTATGACTTTGCATTCTCCCCCAACACGTCCCAGGAGCTGGTTTATGACAGAGCAGTGGCAAACCTTGTGAAGGGGGTTTTCAAAGGTGAGTTAATCATGTTTGGTGGAAACATCTCATCACAGCCTGGTTATCACTTGGTTTGATCAGTTGAAAAATACACTGTATGTCACAGACAACATTGTCCAATTCAACTTTTAAAATCTTAGTTGGTTTGTGAAAACAAGGGCTAAATATTCAAATTTTAAGATCCAAAACTTGCCTGGGAGCCTGAAACTGTCATTGTCATTATTTTATGATAAGTATACACAAAAATAAAAATTTTCATCGGGCTTGAGATGCTATAAATTAATCATATCAACAAATTGGCTGCCTTTGTGCAATCATAAGCAGTAATATTCCTTTCTGGTGTGAGCCAAATTTCACATTTGTACACCAATCCAATACTGAGCAAAACTAGAAAAAATGTAATTTCTTGTCCACAATGGGTCCTGTAACGTTATCTCAATTGTTCGTTATATCAGGATACAATGCCACAGTGCTGGCGTATGGCCAGACAGGCTCTGGTAAGACTTATACCATGGGGAGTGGATACAACATCTCCTTGGAGGAAGACGAGGACCTGGCGGGCGTGATCCCCAGGGTGGTACGACAGCTGTACAGAGGCATTCAGGAGAGGGAGGAGAGCCACACCTTTGTGGTCAGAGTCTCGTTTTTAGAGGTAATTGACTTTGTTTGAAAATGTGTCAGGTGAAAAATAGATGAAACTGATGAACTATTTTCGTGTTTGTACATTACTGGTACACATTTACTTTTTTTTTTTTTTTTGTGTACCTACAAAATCCTATTTATAAAAGTCTTTTTTACATTTTCTTGTGCTTAAACATTATTATTATAGTGCATGTCTTAGATGCCATGTTTATAAAGTTGCCTGTTATTGAAATCTGCCTAACATTTTACTAGACTGGATTCTGTTGTTTTTGGTACTTTAAGATCTATAACGAAGACCTCCATGATCTGCTGTCAAGTAACAGCAGCAAGGACCTGGCCATTAGAGAAGACCCAGAAGGGGGAATCTTGGTAACTGTTGATGCAAAAATAAACATCCACACATCCTATATATATTATACCCAGCCTTTGTTTATCAAATTATGCCGGAATATTTGCACTCAGCTAAAATACCACTTGCACAGTTAAAGAACTACAGTAGGTTTGCAATATTGACAGGTTGACATTTGCACAGTGCTTAAGATTTTGTCTTATCTGGTTTACACAATTGAATATAGCTGGTAGGTTAATTTCACAGAGGCTTTTTGTTATACTGCTCCTTCTCCTTCAGTGGTGCCAATCTCATAGTATTTTGAGCATACCATTACCACAGCCGTGTATTGTATTCTCTGTCTGATATATAGTTATCACATCTGTATTCCAGATCCCTGGTCTGACAGAAACAGTCGTATCCTCCCCAGAGGACACCATCTTGTGTCTAGAACACGGCTCCACCCACAGAACCACCGGCGCCACTGCCATGAACGCCACCTCCAGCCGTTCCCATGCCATATTTACCATCATGGTGGAACAGCAAAGCCGAGAAGACAGCAATGACTTCATGAAGTCGAAATTCCATCTTGTGGACTTGGCTGGGTCGGAACGCTGCAAGAGGACCCAGGCGGAGGGGGGTCGTTTCAAGGAGGGGGTCAACATCAACCTGGGGCTCCTGGCCCTGGGTAATGTGATCAGTGCCCTAGGGGATGAGTCACAGAAGAGGAGTCATATCCCCTATAGAGACTCCAAGCTTACAAGGCTGCTGCAAGGTATTGATAGGGTCATGCTAGCTAATGTTTTAAAATTGGATTTTTTGATTCATCACCAAATGAACAATAGACTGGAGGAACTTTGTCCAATATGTTTGACTTTCTGATCTCGAAGTAAACTTTCTTTTCCTATTAGAGTTTTATTGGAGGCAATTGAGGGAGACTGTGTGCCTGGCTCTTTTATTCATAATAATCGTTGATGTTTTTAAACAAGCCATAAATTATATTATTTCATCATAAATTATATTATGTCATAAACAAAAAGTCAGTAAAAAAAAACTTAATGTCAAAACCTACAATTTAGCATTTGCTGCAGTTGGCAGTTAACTCTAATTTTTTCTTTTTTTTTTTTTTTTCCAAACTATGGAAATGAAAGGCAGCCTGGGTCTTGGTTTCACAAAAATTTAAGTCACAAAAATTTAAGTCAGTTCCCTGGCTTAGTTGACTAGGATTTCCATGAGATTGCTGTTACACTGCTCCTGATAGGGCAAGATGTGATCATGTAACCTAGATAATTAAGTTCTTAGCCCGGGAACCTGACTTAATTTTTTTTTTTTTTTTTTTTTTTTTTTTGTGAAACTGGTGCTAGATAGAAAAAAGAAGAGCACCATTAAATTCTTTTCTGTTCTTTAGATTCTCTGGGTGGTAACAGTCACACTGTAATGATAGCCTGTGTCAGTCCCTCGGATTCCAACATGGAGGAGACCCTGAACACACTGAGGTACGCAGACAGGGCCAGGAAGATTAAGAACAAACCCATTGTCAACAGAGACCCACAAGCGGCAGAAATCTTGAGACTCAAAGGAGTGGTGAGTTGGGTTTTCAATACTAAACGTGCAAATGAACTTAAAAAGTCTGTGTGTCTTGTTGAAATTGTGATGACAGTTATGGATGCTTTCTACCCAGAATCAGTGCTGCAGCATAAGGGAAATATTGTCTGGTGCATGTATTTTATGTATCACAAATTTTTCCAAAGGGGATTAATTACAACATTCAGAGATTTTCTTTCAATTGATTAATGATGTTGTAAGCATGTATGAAAAGACTCCCTAGATTTGGTGTTTGTTTCCCCACAGGTTCAACAGCTGCAGGTTCAACTTATGCAGAATGGTGGAGTTCCTGGGTATGTAGCCCCACATCCAGTGTTAAATTAGGTCTTGTAATTACCAGATTCAAAAAAGTACATATTTTTAGTTACGTGTATAAAACCTTTTAACATAGATAATGATGAAAATGAGTAAAGTATGTGCACAAAATTTTTCTTATCAGTGTGTGAATGGTGTGAACCCTGCCAAATTAAAGCATGTTCAGCTATCAGAATACCTTATCAAGCTACTGTTACCTAGTCAGTGTGTGTGTTTATATAGAATGCATTACATTTTGCATTCACCTTGGGTAAATTATATGTAATGTTTTTAATTTTTTATTTTTCAGCAAATTTGAAGGGTCAATTGACATTAAAGCTTTAAAGGAAAGAATTAAAGAACTGGAGGTATTTTTTGTGAATTTTACATGTTGTTATGCAGCCTATTGTCATTACCATAATCAGCTGAATAAGTTGATAACACTAATAATCCAGAGGTTTTAATTGCTTTGCTGAGCCATCTTAAGATTTATAACTACAAGAAATGCACTTAAGATAGTGATTAGACCTACATTAACTAAGATTATTCAGCAGTGATGAATGCATTTTAAAACATTTTTCTGGCCTGGCTTCACTCTTCTATTTTCTGTGGGACCAGTGGCTGTTATAATAGACTGATGATTTATGCATGTCTTTAATTAAACTTGCATCATTAATATCTCCTTATGCGTCTGTAATTCTTATTTCACCAGGAGGAAAATCATAAACTCAGCAAAGAGTTGGAATCGGCTGTGGATAATAGCACAGGGCTTTGTGAGAAGATAATAAAGACTGAGCTGGCCAGGGACAGGTTGAAGGAAAGACTGAGGGACCTCAGGCAGCAAGCAGGGTGAGAAAGAGGCATCAATTCTTTATGATATCTGGTTTTATTTGTGACTCTGATGAACTAATAAAAAAGAATCGATGAATAAGATGGTTAAACCCAGTCAGTGTTAAACTGATGAAGAGAAAATAAGAATTGTGTCTGTTATTAATACTATGTCATGATAACTTTTTATTCTTTTATTTTTTAACAGTTAATCACAGTTAATTCCAATTCTCAGGGTATGTCGTTTGATGACCTTGAGAGTAACGATAAACAGTTTCATTTTTTCATAATCATTTATCAAATTTAATTTAATTTTTTTAGGCTCACTCTCAACATCACACAGGAGCTGGAAATCAGTGGGGAATTGAAAGATAAGGTGGATGCCATGAAAGATTTGAGCAGAAAGATACAGGAATTCCCTGTAAGTACTGGATGTCAGGTGGTTTATTGCAGGTGTTTATTTTGATAATGGTGAATTATATGGTGAAGTACAGTGTATCATCAGCATTAATTGTCATTTAATTATTTCTCCAACTTTATTATTTAAAGGAAGAAGAACATGAATTGAGCACTATAGAAGAAGAGACCAAAACAGTAAGTATCTGAGTTATTTGTGCTAAAGTTCTGTTATAAACAATGTAATTTTTAAATTCATGAAAAGTGCCTGGTTTTAAAATGACAAAACTTCTCTTTATTTGTGGGTCCTAATTCTAACACACTTTTTCCTTCCTCCCCCACAGGAGAGCTCTGGCTCTTCTCCTGTCCCAGATGAGTTTGATGCCAAGCACGCCCTGTGTCAGGCCAAGCTGAGTAAAGAGCTGCAGGAGCTGAACAGGCTGATCAACTTGAAGCAGGACCTGGCGTCTCAGCTCTCAGAGAATGACGGCAGGCTGGATAACATGAGAGTGGAATATGAGGTAAGGTTTGAAATAGAATTTAATTAATGTCTCTTAAATGTGTTGATTAGTTTTCCTATCTTCATAAAACATTTGATTATTTGAATATTCAATATTATTTGAATAAAAAATGAGAGGCATATGGGACAAGTTGTTAGATCTAATTTAAATTCTCTATAGCAATGATTTTGTTTCTTGGCTTTAATAAAATGATTTGCCCTTTATACCCAATGCTAACAATGTATTCAAATTTCTGGTCATTCGCCTTAAACAATACTAAAATGTTTTGACTGTGGCTTATTTTAACCATTTGATATTCATCATTCAAGAAGCTTGATCTGAATAAAGAAAATAATCACCCTTCGTATGTAATCAGAAATTTATTGTCTCAAAGGAACACCAGTATTAAAGAAAAGTTGGGGTTTGTTTTCAGAAAAATGTGAAAGAGCTAGAGAGCCAGCTGGAGAACCTGATGAAGGAGAAGGAACAACTGCAGGCTGCCCTGGACTCAGCCAAAGCTCAGACTAATGCCAACAAGTTAGTGCACTTAATTATTATGAAAGACAAGACTGAAGTTTAATAAACCAGGGATAAGCTTTTTTTCCGGCCATCAACAGATTTCCAACTTTTTCTGAGCCAAAAATATCATAGCGCTAGACAGCACCCTGGACCTCATGTCATATATTTTTTATTTATTCCCTAAATGGCAGTCTCTCCCTGACCTATTGACATCATTTTGTGTTGACATTTACTTTGTTTAACAGCATCTTATTGGCATGGATTATATTTATTTATTATTAGTATCATTATTTTTTTGGCTTTGATAGTTAAATTTATATCAGTGCTTACATATTCTTCTTTTTCCCCCTAATAATTGGATTTTATTTGTTTTTATTTTTTATTTTTGACATAATTTAGCATATTCAGTGTCTTAGAAATGGTTTTAAAAAACTGCTGAAGTTGTATCAATTCTAGCTTTTGAAGTTGAATTTATATACACTTTTTCCTCCCATCCCAGGATTTCGGAACAAAGAAGACAGAGATTAAAAGAGTTGGAGAAAGAGCTGGCAGCTAAGAAGAAGGAATTACTGGAGAAGAACAAGATTGTGAAAATGAAGGAAAGCACAGACAAGCAGGTCACAAAGATGAACACTGACATACAGGTATGATGGAGTACTGTTGTGTGAAGGGTTGATCATTGTGCCATAAAATTTGTTTCAGTATAAATTTGTATCTGTAAATACATAGGTGAATTATTTCAGGGTTATGCCTGATTTCAGGTTTTCCAGTCTTCAGTTTGATTTGCAATGAGAAATTACAAGCCGTGTTTTCAGGATTTTTAGTTTTGACAACTTTCACCCATGTAAATATGAATATGATGCAGTTAAACTGATCCCTATCTTATACTATGGTGGGATGAAAATGAGAAAGTTAGTTCTAAAAGTGTCACTCTCATGTTATAATTTGTTCTGTTCTTCACAGACAATGAAGCAGCAGCGCGTAAAGCTGATGAAGCAGATGAAGGAAGAGGCAGATAACTTCAGGAAGTGGAAGCAGAGTAAAGAGAAGGAAGTGATGCAGCTCAAGGCTAAGGTAAGGCTTGATTGCAATCAGTCATTGGGCTCATGGTATCATAGTTAACTGTAGACATTACATATGCTGATTTGGAAGGAGAAAATTTAAATTGTTGATGGGGTTTAATGTTTTGATATAATATCTGCTTGTTCTGCTATAATCATTTCAGACGCTAGACAATGCATAGTTAATTTTTAGCCATATAATTCAAAATAAGTGAAAGGAAATATATTTAAAAGAAGTTGAGACTTAGATATACTATTGTTGCCACTTTGCCTATATTTCAAAGTATAACTACCCTGTCAAACTTGGAACCCAGTTATCAATTAAAAAAAAATCTTTCACCCTTAGGATCGTAAGAGAGAGTACGAAATGACCAAGATGGCCAGAAATCACGAGAAACAGCAGGGTGTGTTGAAGAGGAAGGCAGAAGAGGTAAAGTTAAATACACCGCGTCAGAATTTTGGTAGCTTAATACAAACTGTTAAATTAGGTTTATAAATGATGGGAGGGTAGGGCTGTAACCTTATCTTTCATTCATAGATTGAAGTATTGGATCAAAATTTTGTCATGTAAACTTCAAAGTATGTAGGGCAATTTGTCATCTTGATTAGTTTTCAGCATGTAAAAGTTTGATGTTTTCTTTTTTTTTTTAACGTAGGTGAGATATCAGGTAAAGAATAATTCAAGTCATTTATTATTTGATTTTAATGTTTCACTCCAGATTTATCAGACATTTTTTTTTTCCTTTTTTAAAAGTTTTATTTTATCAGAAAATTTTATGTAATGAAAATAGTGAAATTTACAAAACATCATTTACATTTCACTAAATGATGTCACTGTTAAGAGTCTGGAGCTATATGGCACTTGCACTATGTTGCTTTTCTCCATGTTGCTTTTCAGCTAAATAACCTTTCAGTATTTATTTTATTGTTGGTATTTTGCATTACTAAAAATGTTTTGCTGCCTGTTTATACATATCCAGAACTGATGTGGGGATTACCTAGCTCTTCTTTGCATACTTTCATAAGTAAATTAAGACCACTTTGTATAAACGTTGATGATAGGGTATTAATGTTAAGACTATAAAATAAATGAGATTTATAGAAACAGTGATAAATTTTCATTGGGCTAGAGCCCATTGCAGAGTGTCTCGACCAATCTCATACTGTCAAAGTATTTCACTTGAACAGCTGAATCCTGACGTTGCCAAAAGTTTGTGTTTGCAGCTTATCAAGGCTTTGTTGTCTTTGACCAAAAATCCTTTCAATATCTAATTCATATCATACTCATATCTCTAGATGAATACTAGGCTTCTCTCACCTGAGGTGTAACCCGTGTATTATTATTATTATTATTATTATTATTATTATTATTATTATTATTATTATTATTATTATTATTATTATTATTATTATTATTATTATTATTATTATTATTATTATTATTACAGGCTGCTGCTGCTAACAAGAGGCTGAAGGAGGTTCTGGAGAAGAGGAAGGCTGTGGCAGCAGAGAGGAGCAAGTGCCCTGAAAATGAGAGGAACAGATACCAGCTGCAGGTCAAGGTGGGAGTTTAGGACACACACATGCATGGATGCGCGCATGCTTGCACACACACAAACACACACACACATTCCCTGTCTTTAAAACATACCAGATCACAGTGACTTGAATCAGTTAATGCAGATGAATTGATCTACAAACTGAGCTGCCAGGGATGTTTTTTCACTCTCAGTAGCATTACACATTACAGTTGTTTTTTTTTTTTTTTTTTTGCTCTCCAGAGTTTGGTCAACCTTTACATGGAGATAGGAGTCAGTTTGTTTATATATATATATAATTTATTTATTTTTTTATTGTCCAGAGTTTGCTCAACCAGGACCTGGAGATAGCGGTCAGTTTGAAGGAGGCCCAGCACCACCTCCAGAGTCTGATGAACGACAGGAAGGAACTGACCAAGCAGTTGTCTGATCTCAAGGACAAGCTGCTGAATGGACCTCCCAAAAAGGTGAGGATCTTTGTCAACCTTTTCTCTTTATCTTTTAAATGGTGTTTTGTAAATATTGTTATTTCTAGTTTCTTAGCTCTATGTTCTGCTGTTTGTCTCATATTTATAATATGTTGTAACTTATTCTTTATTTATTTTTACAGTTATTTTTTATTTATTAATTTATTATTAATTTCTGAACTCTACTCTTGGCTACTTTCCATACATTTATATAACTCCGGTAAAAAGTATTTGATCTAGTATCCAGAAAAGACCATGACAATTTATTTCAATGATAACTCTTTCCCACTATTTGGTTTATTATAATATTTTTTCTTCTTCTCATTATTATTTAGAAATATGCTTGGGGTGGAGCCGGTGACACGAAGGAATCATCTGATGAAGACAAGGAGGAAATCAAGAAACAAATCCGCACCCTGGAGCAAGATCTGGAGTTGAGAAATGCTCAAATTGCAGACCTACAGCAGAAGATTGTGGACGCTGAAGACGGTTTCCGCTCCAAAAATCTGGAAAGCATTGTATCACTAGGACAAGCCAAGACAGGCATGAATTATCTGCTGGACCAGGTGAGACTGAAGCATTCTTTAATACTACATGACATTGGCAAATAAAACGTGACTTCCAGGCTGATGTTAGCACCATGTGACTTTAATCAACCTGTGACCTATGCTTTTCCAAAGTCTGTGAATGCCAGTGCACCTGAAATGCAGCAGTATATGAGCTAATCATCTATATACACTGGACTCAAAAAGTAAGGAAACGTGAAATTGTTTGTCAGTAATGGAAAAACTATGTATTGGTGGATACATTATCCATCAGTAGTGGTGTAAACTATTTACTTTAGCTCATATGGTTATTTTATCATTATTCAAAAATTCAAAATATCGATGTTTCTGAACTTTTTTGGTCGTGTGGTACAGTTTCTTTTAATGGTGTCTCGACCAGAAGATACATTGGTATCGTTCATGTTCTTTTCTTTCTCTCTCTCTCTCTGCGCTTATATAATATGTGCACTGTCCATTGTCGTCATCATGCTCTTAAGTGGTTAAAACACCAGTTAGACTAAGTTTAACAAACCTTTTCCTATTTTTAAGGCTGTGATTGCCAAGTGTGCCCAGAGCAGAGTGGCCTGTGAACTGAGGCACCAGAGGAACACTGTGGAAGACCTGACCAAACAGACAGAAAAGATGGAGGAAGAACTGAAGAGTGTCAGACATATCCACCAGGAGGAGCTGCTGGCTCAACAGAGACAGTACGAAGACAGGGTAAGTATCCTGCAGATGATGTTTTAGACTGAATCTAAAACCAAGTTTGAAAGATTTAAATAAGTATGAGATAAAATCTTTTTGCTATTAACTATAAAGAAATAAGTAATAATATACTTTCAGGATATAAAGAAATTGAGTTCCTGTCAAAAAGATATAAATGTAATTCAAACACAGCAGACAGGATTAAAATATGTGATTTTATAACCGCCATTTTTTCCAGATACTTTACCTGCTGCGCCAGTTGAAAACTAAAAAAGAGGATGAGCCTCTTCTTAACAGCACTCTAGATGAGCAAACTAAGGAACGCCTTAAGTTCCAGGTAATATATTTATCACTTAGTACGAGGCATTGTCAGAAGTTTGTCACCAAAATTTTCTTCTTGTCATCTCAGACATGATCAGTTAGTAAAATGGATGACTGGCAGTTGACATATTCTATTTCATGATAGTGTTAAGCTTGAACTTTTGATCCCAGGAGCTGACGTAATGATAATAATTTCATTGGAGATTTTGCATTAATTTTGTGCCTTAAAGAGAGTCTCGCCCTGAATTTGGTGCTGGTTGTTTTCAGGAGCAAGAAATAGAGCGACTCAGTGGCCTACACGAGGAGTTGCAGAAGAAAATGGAGGAATGTGAGGTGTTGAAGAAGGTACGAAAACGCTGAGTCTACAGCTCTTGTGGCATACAGCATGGTTGTGGTTAAAGTTATTATTCATTTAGATGCATATAAATATTATTATTTTTTATTAAATTTTTAATCTGGAAGAAACTGTATTTTCTAACTTTGGCCTGATTTGTTCTCGCTAGGAACTCACCCTAGCCAAGTATCAAGGTCGCAAGATGTCTTTGATGCCCACAATTACAAGAGCAGACGGCTCTCCGTACTTCACTCCTCCCAATCCCCTGCTACGGGTAAGTCATGAACATGGTTACATTTTGTTAATTTGTGCATTCAATTTTTCAGTTTTACTTGCAGGATTTAAGCATTTGAATTTTTTGATCACATTGTAAAACTATCTTTGTGCAAACCTGATATAGTCCTGTTTAAGACTTTTTTTTTTTTCCAAACTAAAATATAAAAGTCAAACATAAATCACTCTTCATTCACATTTCTTTGGTGAAACTTCATTTACTAATTTATTTTAAATATTCTAATTATCATATAATAAAAATTTGAATGATATTTTCATCTCATAATTTTACAGAAGAAGAAGCCTAAGTCTCAGCGCACAGAGGCAGAATTGATGCTGGACTTTGACGACTTCTCAGACACAGATTCTGACGACTTCATAGCTGATGACAAAAATGACAAAGACTGGACAAAAACACCCCTTTACAAAACAAAAAATCAGAGGAGGAAGAATTACGGTGAAATTTCAAAGGACAGTGACAAGGTATCCCTTTATTAATACAATAAAGATTAATTTCTTGAAGTCTATGTACATTTTGTTAATAGTCAGAATTATCTGTTGGGGTTGTTTGAAGTAGTATAACCAGGTTGCCTCCAAAGAGGTGAACAACTGCCGGTTTGACCACCAAATACAACCTCACAATATTAAACCATTTCTTACCCTTTGGTGAGACATTGACGCCAACCCTGTATATACACAATTACTCCTGTGGCTGTCATCTCATGGGGCTGCTTGAGTCTTTTGGGGTATAGAGTATAGTATTTATGTTTTGAACAAATTGTGTTGGTGTGCTGAAGAGTGTTATGACGGTAACAGTCACTGGAGATTGAAAAATTATTTTAAAGTTTTTTTTTCTCTTTTATTTATGTTAATCGTGGGGCTATTGGTTCTTTTCGTGGACTAATTTAATGCCATCTTTTATTCCCAGTCATCCAGTGGTCCAGGAGGAGGAGGGAAGTTCTGTTCCTGTAAAGGCAACTGTCAAACCAAGCGGTGCTGTTGCAGGAAGAGCCTGGGTCTCTGCGTAGACGGCTGTGGCTGTAACCCCGACACCTGTGTGAACAGAGAGGGCAACTCTGAAAATGTAAGTACCCCAGATGTGCACTTAGTAAAGGGAACCACATGGCTGAATACCAGCCGTGTAGAGTGGCTCTTGCTTATAGTGAAAATTTACTGGTCCGTTGTAAAATTGTATTATTATTATTATTATTATTTTTTTTTTTTCCTCTTTGTCACTTGTACTTCTAAATTGTGCCAGTTTTCAGCTGGTTATGGTTTTTGGAGATGTAGTGGACAATATATTGGGGGTATGAGGAGGAATGAAAATGAAGTCATACAGCAGATGATTATATATATATATATATATATATATATATATATATATATATATATATTTTTTTTTTTTTTTTTTTTTTTTTTTTTTTACTTGTAATATTAGCTCTTTCAGTTCTTGTTGGTAATGAAAAATTTTAAAGCCTAGATTTGTGATATGTTATAGGTGAGCCAGACATCCAGTGGAGGCCTCAACACCACATTCAATGTAGGGTTGGACCAATCTGGCCCAGGGAGTGCCGACTCCACATTTAACGCCAACACCAGTGTGGGCAGGGCTACGCGTAAAGCCCTGGCAGCGATGAATGCCTCACAAGAGGAAAAACCTAGAAGAACACGTAAGAGCAGGGAAAGCACCAAAAGACCATCTGCCAGTAGTTTGTACAAGCTGGAGTCGGAAAACAGTGAAGGAAAAGCAGAAGATGAAGACAGCGATCCTATAACTGATTTAGGTCAAGGGGGTCTGAAGAAAAAGAGGAGGTTGCTGAAACAAGAAAACAGCAGCTTTTTTCCTAGCATTACTGACGAGGCATAAGATGCTGGGCTTGCCTGCTACATTCCATATGTTTTATTTTATTGTTATTTTTTTAGTTTATTGGTAATATTTACCTATTTGTTATTGATATATGTATGTAAATGTGAAGTAGATTTAAATTGTGGAGTAATTTAAGCCATATGTTATTGTCACAATACAGATTTCACTAGTCATTAACTAGATTGCCATGAGGAGAAGAATGTCGAGAGGAAAGAAATGCAAAAAGCTTACTTTCATACTTCAGTTACTAAAGTCTGGTTAATCTTATTGATGATCTAAATTGTCATAATATTACTGTTTGCCTTTGTAAAAAAATGAAAGCATGAAGCAATGTTATTTGTAGTATCTTAGTAATGAATGCATGTTCTGTGTATGAATTGCATACACCAACATTTTATGACAGTCTTTGATGAAAGCTACTGCCAACATTATATGCACTTGCTTCCCATTTATAATTTATGAATTTAACTGTCATATGTGAGAAAAAAAAAGAGTTGTGACATTCATCATTGTCCTATAGCTTAGTCTTAAGCTAGACTTGTCCATACAGTTAAACTGAGCCTGATTTAACTGCATAGTAAGAGACTTAGTGTAAATGATTAATATACTAGAATGTCTGTACTTTAAGATGCAATGTGCTGCCAAGTTCACTTTTCATTGTGAAGTTCAATTGTTACAGGGAGTAAGTGACCATGAATGTGAAATACTGGTTCTCTGATTGTCAATTTAAGCTGCAACTCGTTACTGCACTCTCTTAATATTTTATTGGCAACACATTGAAAGGTGAATTAGTAGTTTTAGGCATTTTTAAAAAATTAAATACAGTGAATGAAAGTGACATGTGAGAATATGAGGTGTGTTTGTTTGCATATCAGGGATATGATATTTGCACCTGTAAATAAACTGCATAGTATGGCCTATTATCAAGGCAAGATATCTTTCCGTCTTCTTGATGTTTATTAATTGAAGCTTTTTATGTTGGCAACTCCCAGATTGGTAAGGTTTAGGGCAAAATGAGAAAGGGGACAAATGTATATATGAATGATTTTAATTTTTAAAGTGCTTGGCACTCGAATCTGATGTGTAAATTTAAAACGAAAAAAAAAATTCCATTTTTCTCTCAGTTTCTCACTCTGGACGTAAGAAATATGAGGAAAGACTTGAGAACAGCATTTAATAAATGTAAACAATTCAAGTGGATCCTATTAAGCTTGGCAATAAACATCATTACTATAAAATGTGTAAGCCTTCCAGCCTCCATGTTAAATTAACCACATCTGCTGCTGCATTGCTTTTTAAATCTACACTGTCTTGTAACTTCTTCAGAGCACCTGTCACTGTTTCTGGCAAAATTTCTGAATCTTGGGTCACTTCTACTGCTGACTGTCTTGAATTGGACAAACAGAATACAATTTCGTTGACTTCATCTGGGATTTTTACATTGAGTACAGACTTGAAAACACTTTTTAAGTTTTGCACAACGCTCTCTCGCAATGACTTGTCTCTGCACACCAGGTTGAGGATAAAAACACCTGGAAAAAATAAATGAAATTAACAAAATATCAAACTTTATAAAATGTGTATTTCAACAATTTGTGGGTTTGAGATAGGAGGAAATCAAACTGACTGGTGATGAAGTCAGTTAATCAAGAAATGGAAAATAAATCCATCACAAATTGAGTGAACTTATTTATCTTACAAATTGTTCCTTCTAGGACCTCACCCTGACCAAGTATCATTATTTTAAGTAAGAAATAAAATATTGTGGTTAACTTGGAATTTTTGCTTCTCACATTACAAAACTTCTCCAACATAGTGCACTGATTTCTTTTTACAAAATTTCAATCACCCAACTTTGGTCAGATATCATAAACCATATTCAAAATACCTTCGCTGTGCAGCGTTTTCTCTACATCTTTCAGAAATTCGGCTTCCACAAAACCTTTGGGAGGAGAACTCATTCCTACACTGCTGTCTTTACTGTCAATATCAAATATTATCACATCTTTTGTTTCACCTAATTAAATAAGAAAAAGGAATTAATTTTTCAAGTTTTTAGAAAACAGAACTCACACTAAGGCAAATTTTTTCACAAAAAAAGCATCAACATCTTGCATGCTCAATTTATAGGAATTGTATTGGCATAATAGACTTTAACAAAATTGCTGAAAGGATCATTTTCTATTAGATCCATAAACTGAAAACCTTTACTAGTTAAATAACAGATACGTTGAGCTTCTCTGCTAACTTGCTGTTTTGGTGCAGAAATTTTACTAGTAAAATTTATCGACAATTAAACAACTGTTACGCTTAGAATTAGCCATTTAATATACACAACAGAAGAGAACAACTTGTCTCTGATGCGTTGATACACCAAAATATATAGACTGGTTCAACTGTAGTTATTATTTAATTCTATCCAACACTTACCTGCTGCAGCCAGTTCTTTGACATAATCTTGACCATCTTTCACAAACACATGAACCCTCTCCTCTGTCACGCTGCCAAACCCAAACCATTCCTTGGCGATACTGACCACGGTGTCATCTATCTCTACAATATCTAGGCTGACCTATGTGATATAAAGAAGAAGTTATTTTCATTTAGAGCTCCATCTTTTAAAATTTATTCATAATTTCCAAATAGAAAATTTCTGATAAACAATAGACATTCTGTATAATAAGGGTGTAATTGAGCATTTTTCTAAAAACTGTTTATTCCTAGACCACAGTGGACTATTTACCATGTAATATCTATTTAATTTAGTAAGCTTTATATTAAACCATGGAAGTGTAAATTGTATGTCATCTCACCTTAGGAAAATGATCATGAATAAACAAAGGCAGTCCACCCCCACCTAGACCAATTATTGCCATTTGTAAACCTGAATCTGAAATGCAATATAGGTAACAAATACATACAATATAAATGCTGTTATAATAATGCAATAAAAAGTGGAATTACTTTTTTTGTTAATCTGGCCTTGTCTTCCATGTACATTTAGTAATAAGCTTTGCATCTGAATACTATTTTTATTCTCAGTATGTGGCATCTACTGGAATACTTTAATTCTGAGGACTCTTTTGGGCATTTTTGGATCTTTCAAAAAATGGCCAGCATTTTCTTGAAAGACAGATGTCTTATTTTCAGAAAAGATGGACAGGATTACATCTTACAACTGAAATTAAGGTCACTACATTTCAACCTCATTGCAAGGGCTTCTTCAGGTGAACTGAATTTGGGCTGTCATCTTTGTGTAGTTGAAACTGGGGACACTCCAACATCATTATGTTGATTTAAAATAAATGGATGAATGCAGTCTTGCATTTAATTACCTAAAGACTTCTCAAAGTCTCCTAACAGAGCCATCCCAGCAGTAATTGTACTGTGGTGCTGGCATGATAAGAAGCTACTGTCAACCACCAATCGTTTTACATTCTTCTTCTTCCCACTCTTTTTCTTCGACGTTTCCTGCTTCAACCTGGCTTCTGACTGAACAAGACTGGGGTTGCTGAGAAATACCAATCTCCTTACGAGTTCTTTGTTATCTGACTCTACATCTTCTATGACATAATCACCACTTGTGTTACTCTTCCCTCTGTGTTTGATGGTACGATGCCCTATGCCATCCCCCAGGGACAGAAACGGTACCTAAAATGGAATTAAATAAGGGTATTGTATAATTATTTAAAGATTATTATTTTTATTATTATTTTGGCTGATCTGCAATTATGACATGATTTTGATCAATATATTTGAAAAACAATTTGTTAAAATTATATCAATACAATCAGTCTAAACTGTTCCAGAAGACTCTCTACCCCCAAATTCAGTACAATTAAAATACTAGAGAGTGCAACATGGACATATATAAATTTACAGGTAAATAATGGTTAACAACAGGTGAACATATAGTCAAACATGGGGGTGTGAAAGTGCGTGCATTCATGCCATGCGTGTTGGCAAGAATTCTTTTGGCAAACATCGACATGTATTACCTGTGTCTTATTTTTCAGCTCAGCAGGGGCCAGCTCCATGACTTTACCCGATAACTCAGCTTTGATGTTCTCCATGTCAATATATGAGTGATCTCGATGTAGCAGGACCACAACCAGCCGTTGGAATCCTGCGCTTTCAGAGAGCTGTTTTCTTCCTTCATTAGTAGAGAATAGCCATTCTGTCTCCCTGAATGTGAAGCATGTTTCAGAAAATTACTCAGTATCTGGAGAATACTGTACGATAATGTTGTTTCAACATGTCGTGTTCAGAATTGGTGGTCTGACAGAAGGCCATAACATCACAGTCAGGACAGCATCTAGTTAAATGGCACTGGCCAAATATTTTTGATTTTCTTATAAGAATATGAACATCTGACCAAGGCCAGCATTAAGATTAAAAACATACTCTGCAATCTTTATAAAATATAATTAATTAAAGAGTTATCACTAAAATATAATCGATTTGATTCAATTATGTCATGCATAAACCTACCTTGAACATTTTATCGAAATCTATTCTTAACTTTCGGAGTTAATCTTTAAACTTTCAACCAAACAAAGGCCAAGACTTGTCGAACTAATCACATAAAGTCAATCCAGAACATGCTGTACGCAGTGAACTCACCTTCCTTCAGGAGCAATAAAAATAGCAAACACATTGTCCCTGGCATTCCTGTCACTGTCCACAACATGGAGGGTATACCTGGGAGAGGTGCTGGACGTGGGACCATACAGGTGAAGGACTATCTGGTCATCAGGGTGACTTCTGGAAGACAAATAGATACACTCTTCAAGTTGATGACATTTAAGCAAAAAAAAAAATAAATAATAATTATTGAGATTAAATAGTAACAGGATTTTAGTAAAATTTTTCTGTCATAAAAAAAGAGAAAAGAAGACCAAATGTTTTATTTAATCTGAACACTTTTAATTAACATTTTTGTTAATCTTATTTTATTTTGTGAATTTAAATATTTATAATATTTCAAACTCCAACTATATTAGTTTCAAATATGCATTATTACCTTCGTTGTTGTTGTTGTTATTGTTATTATTATTATTATATACTGTATTTGTAGCTGTTAAGTATAACCTTTTGTTAATCTGCTGCCTGACCATAGCATAGTGCTGCATCTCCTTGACCGCTGTGGTCATCTCGTCTGTACTCTCCAGTCTGGACACCTGGTCTTCTAACTGACATACCTCTAAGATCTACAATATACTACTTCAATTTTAATTGTTGTATGAATCATATAAATAACAATTACAGTTACGTATGACTTATTTACAAAATCTAATCTGATGAAAATTCAAAATCCTGAATAAGCTGTTTTGATGATTTTAGTATTTCTCTTCTTTGTAATAAATCTCAAAATGACAGTAATCAACTACAATCAGCTTCAATGCACAGGACAAATCTTTTTCAATACCCTTAGAGAAAGAATGCATCATTATTGATATAGAACACACAAAAATACGCACAACTTAATTACAAGAACATGAACACCAACAAACACAATCACCTGTTTCATGTTTGGCATTTTCTTAAATTTAGTGCAGACA